ATGAGGCTGCTGGTATTGACCAGGCCTCACAATATTCCAGATCAGACTGATATTCCCCACACAGATTGCTCATAAGTAAAGGCATATTCCTGCCTTTTCCAAAGAGATTTCAGATGAAAACATTGTGGATGATTGTCAAAAGGCTCTTCTAAGGGCCTTGCAGATCCAAGACTTACATAATAAAGAGGGCTTGAGTCTAGGCCTGAGACAAAGAGCCTAATTTAGAGTTAAGGGAAGATACCACCCCCACCCAATTTTTTCTGCCTGGAATACTGGCTGCCCCCCACCTCAAGGCATTTGTTATACAGTATTTGGAGTGACTTATTCTGGCCATGAATATGCTGATTGCTCCCTGTGAAGGAACCTACTGAGGAACTTCTTCTTTTGTGATTATGGGAGCGGAGGTGTCTCCTGAAAGACCTGTTTGACCCCTCCTCACAGGGAAGTAACCTTACCCTTTTAGGCTAAAAGCATTGTCTGATATGCTGCATTTAAATCACCTACCTCACTATTGATAAAGTTTATGCATGAGTCTTCTACAAATCTATGTTCTGGGAAATTCTTACATATCAAAGAAGGTTGTTATCAGAAATCATTGTCTAAGGCAAATGCCACTTCTGTGCCATCCCCCAAACACCTCTAAAATAAAGTTGACCCCAGTCAGCAGAGATCCCTGCTTGGTGACTGGAAAGACTCTCAGGCCTCTCTCACCCCTCCCTCGCCAACACCGTCCATCCTTCAGGGACCCCCGGACCCCGGCCACAGCGGGTCTCCAACAACCATGTTTACCTTCCTAGCTGTCAAGAGCAATTTAGAACTGTTGTGCCCGAATCGCTAGTCCCCAGTGACCTCCAAGAAGCCTGCACTGATGCAAGAACAAAAGGGTCTTTATTACAAGCTTGAGCAGGGGCCCACCCGCCTACGGACACAGCAGCAGCAGCAGGGGGAGCCCCGAACAAGAGCGAGCAGGTTTTTTTTTTTTCACAAATAGTTTCTTGTCAGGTTGGTTTCCATATAACACCCAGTGCTCATCCCCACAAGTGCCCTCCTCCATGCCCATCTCCCCCCCCACCCCCATCAGCCCTCAGTTTGTTCTCATCAATCAAGACTCTCTCATGGTTTGCCTCCCTCCCCCTCCCCCACCATTTCCCCCCTTCTTATCCCACACGGCCCTCCGTTAAGTTCCTCCTAATCCTCCTATACATGCAAACATATGGTGTCTGTCCTTCTCTGCCTGACTTATTTCATAGCGAGCAGGGTTTTAAGGGGTAAGGGATGGGGGTGTTACACTACACGTGTTGTACACCAGTCATATTTGTACAGCACCCCTGGCAGCAGCTTTGACCATTTAGTACCTGTGAGGTGCCCGTTACTTTTGGTGGAGCCCAATTATAGCCTTTTGAGACTCCTTTGAAAATGACCAATTATGAGGTGAGTTAGGCACAGGGCGGGGGGCGGGGGGTGGGGGGCAGCGCTTGTCTCACGCCTCAGGAATGTTTTTAACCTCCTCTCATTGGCTAATTGGAGAGTGGTTTCGGCCTTGAACAATCTGCGGGTTTTCCTGAGACTGCTGCTATGTGCAGCCCGAGGTTGCTTTTAATGGGGGTCTTAATTTTAAAATGGCGTTATTGAGGCTCTTCAGAACAAAATGGCTTAAAGCAAAGGGACTCATGTCTCTTTTCTATACATAACGGAGGCAGAGAAGCCCCAGGAAGGACCAGATCTCAGAATTAAGCAAACACATACTTCCCAAAGGAGAAGCCACAGCGTTTCCAGAGGACACATGATCGCCCTGCTTCAACATGTGGTTGGCTTGTCTGAGGAACGTTGGCGAGCTGTCTGGAGACCAGCTGGTGCTACTGCTGAGCCCCAAACCCTCTGTGAAGACAGATGGTTGTGTTCTCATTCTCCATCGGGGTGTTGCTGCTGGTACATGGTTTCTGGTTGTCCCGTGTCTAGAGGGGCAGGGGCTCTGGTCCCTCTGAAGGTCCTGACTGCTTCCATCACGGCCCCCAGACCCACCCCCAGCAGCAGGCACGTGTCCAGGCTCAGGGAAGACTTCCTTCAGGAGCCCGAGCACCTGGTCCTACACCCACCTGCACCTTGGCTCCCTCTGTGCCCTGATTCCTGGCTCCCCTGTGTTTAGGAATCAGGGCACAGTTAGGTCTGTCACCCAGACTTTCTCCAAGGAATGTCAATGTCGAGGATGCCCTGGTCTATAAACCATGGACACCAGATGTCCCTGGCCCACAGGTCTGGAGACCCCACAGGTAGATTTGTTAGAACAGCAGACTTGGGCCTTTGCTCTAGGATGTGGGTCAAACTATGTCAAGGTCCAGAGTCAACTACAGGCAGGTGGAGTCCTCTCGGGAGCATGTCCCCCAGGTCAGGTCGGGGCCCTGCTCTGATGGTCAGAATCTAGAAAGCAAGTCCTCCTCCAGGGCTCCAGTCTGGGAACCCTACAGACAACGGGGACAGTGACTTGCCTCCCTCCTCCCCTGAATCCCTCGGCAGGGGCCCCGGAAAGGAAGGGGGAGATGGAGTACCGGCCCCTTACCAGCTGGAAAGGGCCAAGGCAGCTCTCGCTGGGACCGGAGGGTTGGGGGCACATCTGAGCACATGGCCGGGGTCTGCCCCATGGTCGGCCACCTCCAGGAGGGAGGGATCCTTCCACCCCTGTGAGGGCAGGTTTTGAGGGCATTGGCAATAGATGGTAGTGTCATTGCAGGGGTCCTGGTTCTGAAGGTAATCAGGGGAAGGCCCCTGTGCCGTGTCGGAGCGGGTGTCCCGAGGGAGGAGGGTGCTTCTGCTCACTAATATTTCTGTAGAGACACCAAGTGCCCGTTGATCTCGGAAACCACCCCAGTGGAGTGTCTTTGAGGTGAACATCACTAGTTTGTTACTGGTAGTGGAATTACTTCTTCTTCCCATTTGTTTGCCTCCATCCGATGGCCACAGGGGCTGAGTTATTGCTTAGGTTCAGCAGTCGCTTTGTCAGAGGTGAAGACTCTATTGTATAGTTGGTGAGTGTGTAGAGTACACACTCCCGTTTCTGCAGTGGAAGGGGCTGCAGGCTAGTGAAACGCCGCCGAGAGCTGGAGAGGGAAGGGGATTTTATCCTCGGGGGTTTCCCGTCCCCAGGGTCAGTTCTATTTCTGTGAAAGGAAATGAGGGAGGTGGGGAGTCAGGACGGGGCGCTGCTGGGAATCTGTGCCAGGAGCACAGCCAGCACGTCCCTGGCACAGGAGGCCTCTCCTGGAGACAGGCGTTCTGGAGGAAATCGGAGGCTGTGGCACCGGTGACCCCACTGCCCCGCACAGGTCCAGTGACCCTCCAGCCACCCCTGACCGTCCCCAAATCCCTCTGTGGTGAGAGCTCGCTGGCTCAGGTACATTGAGCCACGTGTCCCGATGTGCTCAGGGAATGAGTGAAAGTTGAGATTGTCACTGGGTCTGGTCCTGAAGCCACTCTCCGGGCAGCTGACTATGGCCCCGGCTGGTCCAGGAGGGTTTGGAGTCCGAAGCCCGTGGGTCAGCACAGAAGCCATGGTGCCCACAGGCTGCGGCCCAGTCCTGGGGCTCAGGGTCAGGGTCTAGGTTAGTTGCTTCCTGGTTAGAAAGTTTAGGGAAGTTGCCGACTGGGGGAGTACAAGCCCCACCCTGAGCAGAGCTGGAGGTACTGGCCCATGTGTGATGCAGGCAGTGCAGGGGGGAGGCTGTGGTTAGCAAGGGCCTCTGTGGACCTCAGAGCCTGCAGAGCTGCAACCACAGGCCTGTTTCCTCTGCCTGGAAGGAAGAAGAGGTGGTGAGAGAAAGGAGAGGCTGCCCTGGGCCTAATTTCCAAACTGTGTGCTCATCAAATACCCTACATGGGCCCTGACTTTCCTCATCTGTGAAATGGCCTCTTATAGCAACTGTGCCTGTGAATCACAGAAACCTCGACACACTGTGGTCAGTGACATTGACTCTCTTGCTGCCCAGGACGGCGGGAGGTGACTGAGATCTGTATCTGTCAGTTGAAAATGTCCCTGGTGCATGCCAGCCTGGAGCACGTGATGGCTGCCCCTCCAGTGTCCCTGAGCTGCAGCTGCTGGGGGCTCTGTCCTGTACCCTGGGCCCCACCCCCCACATGTTTGCTTTGTTAAGGAGCAGACACTTGTCCCCTGAGAGGGCTTCCCAGGGGTGTAGGGATGGGGACAGGGGCGTGGCCGACTTGCTCCCCATCATGTGGAGTGACCAGTGGTGAGCTGCCCAGATGTAGATTCCATCCAAGAATCTCTACCCATGAGGCTCAGAGACTGAGCCTTTTGAAGAACCTTCCCCGTTACGGGATGGGAGCCGGGGAAGAAGGCAGTGTTGATGCTCTCCTGTCTGAGGTGCACAGAGCAGGTCGGGGGAGCCCCGAGTGGCTGCGGGGACTCGCTGGGGGCCACACGGTGGACGGGACAGGAGCCGGACGATGGATTTCTCAAGGATCATGGGTGGGAGTCCAGCCCCTGCTCCTGACCTGCTGAGTGACCTCTGATGGTCGTGCAAACCCTGAGGCTGGGCTTTCACGTCCACAAAGTGGATTTACCAGCTAATAGGCCGACTACCTTCAGGGCGTGTCCCCGCCCTCCTAAGGGTCCAGCCTCAGGATCCGAGGGTCTGAGCAGCTGAGGGGAAGATGGGGACCAGGGTCTCTGGGCTGAGTGTGATCTCAGGGCCACAGGGAATGGGTCCCGCTGGGTGCAGGCTGGGGAGCTGACATCACCAGGCCCATGGTGCTCATAGGATGCGGCCTCTCCCACCCATCGGCTCATCGAAGGGGTGTTCGTACATTCATCTGCCATTATCCCTGAGACCCAGTGCGGGGGAGGAAAGAGGAAGCCTCTGAATGGCTTTCTCTAGAGCAGCCAGCTTGTCCTAGACGGTTAGCTCCGCCCCTGGGGTGGGAAGAGTTAAATTCTGAATGAAGTTTTCTCCTCTCTTACCTCTGCCTTCTGGATGTTTCAGCCACAGCCGAGTAGGCCCAGAGCACGCCTGGAGGGAGGCAGCCTGTGATGGGAACCCGCCCAGAGGCCCCCCGCCTGTGCCGGGCCCCCTGGCTCCTGGGATTCACCAGCCTCCTCCTCAGTGAGTGGCCCGGGTCCCTGGGCGGGAGGCCGCTGTGCGGGGCAGGGAGGGGGGCTCCCGCGGGTCTGATGACTGTGGGGAAGGACCTGAAATACCACCTCTGTCGTACGGCACGTGCGGGG